ACAAACTGACAGACTGGGAAGAAGGCCCTGGCTGTCTACTTCTGAAAAAACTGGCCAGCAGTTTATGGATAGCAGTGGAACACTGTCTGATATAGTGATCCAAGAGAATGTGGAAATTATTGAACAATATCATTAATATCACATGCAAGTAAAATGATGCTGAAGATAATTCAAAAATGGTGGCAGCAATACATCGATAGGGAACTGCCAGAAATTCAAGCCGGATTCAGAAGAGGATGTGAATGTGGGATATTGATGCTGATGTCAGATGGATCTTGGCTGAAAGCAAAGAATACTAGGAAGACATTTATTGGTGTTTTATTGACTATGCAAAGGCATTTGATTGTGTGGATCATAACAAATTATGTATAACATTATGAAGAATGGGAATTCTGGAACACTTAATTGTGCTCATGAGGAACCTGTACACAGACCAAGAGGCAGTCATTCAAACAAAACAAGGGGATACTGCATGGTTTAAAATCAGAAAAGGTGTGCATCAGGGTTGTATCCTTTCACCATACTTATTCAATATGTATGCTGAGCAAATATTCTGAGGAGCTGGGCTATATGAAGAAGAACACAGCATCAGGATTGGAGGAAAACTCATTAACAACCTGTGATAAGCATATGACACAACCTTGCTTGCTGAAAGCAAAGAGGACTTGAAGTACTTACTGATGAAAGTCAAAGACCACAGCCTTCAGTACAGATTACAACTCAACATAAAGAAAACAAAAATCCTCACAACTGGACCAATAAGCAACATCATGATAAATGGAGAAAAGATTGAATTTGTCAAGGATTTTATTTTACTTGGATCCACAATCAACGCCCATGGAAACAGCAGTCAAGAAATCAAAAGATGCTTTGTATTGGGCAAATCTGTTGCAAAAGATCTCTTTAAAGTGTTAAAAAGCAAAGATGTCACCTTGAATACTAAACTGTGCCTGACCCAAGCCATGGTGTTTTTTTAATCATCTCGTATGCATGCGAAAGCTGGATAATGAATAAGGAAGAGCGAAGAAGAACTGATGCCTTTGAATTATGGTGTTGGCGAAGAATCTTGAGTATACCTTGGACTGCCAGAAGAACAAATAAATTTGTTTTGGGAGAAGGACAGCCAGAACGTTCCTTAGAAACAAGGATGGCAAAACTTTGTCTCATATCCTTTGGACATGTTATTAGGAGGGACCAGTTCCTGGAGAAGGGCATCACGCTTGGTAAAGTAGAGGGTCAGCGAAAAAGAGGAAGACATTTAACGAGATGGACTGACACGGTGGCCGCAGCAATGAGCTCAAACATAGCAACGATTGTGAGGATGGTGTAGGACCTGGCAGTGTTTCATTCTCTTGTACATCGGATCACTATGAATCAGAAGCGACTCGACAGCACCTAACAACAACAGCAACAACATATCAATATCTACAACTATGTAAGTTCTTCATATATTAAAAAGCTCCTACAAATCAAAACAAGCCAAAAAACCCAACAGCTCAGCGAAAAATGGGCAAAGAAAATGGACTTAACATTCATTCGTCTTTCAATCAATATATCCAGTCATAATCCAGTGACTTTCAGTCACACACAAAACCTGTTCTAAGTGCTGGGAATACAACAGTGGACAAACGAGAACCCCTATCCACAGGAAGCTTACATTTGAGGAAGGAGAGAGACAGACAATAACCAAACAATATTCAAGTAATGATAAGTGGTATGAATAAAAATAAAGTAGGATAAGGAGATATGGTTTGGTGGGGAGGGAGCAATGCTGTTAATTTAGGTAGCATGATTGTAGAAAGGTCCTTGGAGGAGGTGTCAAATCAGAGAGACTCTACCAAAGGTTGGAGCACAAAAGATGGATTGGATATCAACCAGGGGAACAACAAGTTCAAAGCCCTCCAGGCAAGAGCATGCTTGGCATATATAAGAAAACCATGGAATCTTGAGTGTCTGGAGCAGAGTGAATGCGGGTTAGAGAGGTAGGAGACAAAGTAATAGACGTAACTAAGGGCTGGACTGTGTAGGTCCTTATAAGCTTTGGAAAGGGCTTGGAATTTTAAGTATGATGAGAATACATTGGGAGATTTTGAACAGGGGATAACACAGATTTGTGTGTTTTTTTTTTTTTTTTTAAGTAATGTGGGAAGAATGGAATAAAGAAAGGCAAGGGCAGAGGCAAATTTTCTCCATATGAAGTGAAAAATGGAACCTTAGTTTTAACTTGCATTTCTCTCATGAGTGCAGTTGAAAAGCCTTTCATATATTTCAGAGCCATTTGTACGTTCTGAAAACATCAATTTGCACTAGACAGCTGGGGATTTGGGCAGATTCTCTTATGCATTGCTAATGGGAGTGTTAACTGGTTGCGCTCTAAAACTGAACTTTAGTTCTTTATTTAAAGAATTAAAATGCAGTGAATAAGAGATGACTTCTGTAAAAACTCTCCTAAACATGCCAAGTTCACTTTTGGGAAAAGACTGTAAAAGTGTGTTGATGAGAGAGCCTAGGAGATGTCTCAAATCCCACCAGGAAGCCACCAATCCTGAAATAAATGACTGCAACAATTTCCATAATACAGTTTACTTGAAGGATATAAAGTTATATAATGACAAAGTTTCGGTAGCTGGTGAAAAATATTGAACAAGAAGCATTCTTTAGGAAGGAATTTTTTAGTGTCTCTCCAACACTGTCAAGGCAAAACCATACTCTCTAACTCCTTTTCGATAGGGAGGTTCTTTGAGGGCAAAAGTCATTATTATTAAACTGGAGAAACCCCGAGAGTTTGATCCCCGGACACCTTTTTAGCTCAATAACGAAGTCACTCCTGAGGTTCACCCTTTAGCCAAAGATTAGACAGATGCATAAAACAAAACGAGACTAAAGGGGCACACTAGCTCAGGGGCAAGGATTAGAAGGTAGGAGGGGACAGGAAGGCTAGTAATAGGGAACCCAAGGTCGAGAAGGGAGAGTGTTGACATGTTGTGAGGTTGTTAACTAATGTCATAAAACAATAAGTGTACTAACTGGTTAATGAGAAGCTAGTTTGTTCTGTAAACCTTCATCTGAAGTACAATTAAAAAAAAAAAATCATGACACTCTAAAACAAACAAACAAAAATCACTATTATATTCATCTTTTTATCATTAGCTCCTAGCACAGTTTCTGCACACTTTAGGTGCTGAATACATGTTTGTGGACTGAATTGGATAATCACATAAGAAAAGTTACACAGGCATGGTCATAGACTTGAGAAAGATTATACATCAAGCCAAAATATCATCTCACGTGGAGGTCCTTCTGGTTACATGTGTTTCTAGTTCTATGCTAATCAAACAACCTTCTCAGTTACACTGGTCCATTCACAAGGAGCCAACCAGTCCCAGGGATCATTCTAGTTACTTTTCATGATATAAGGAGTAGATTCTCATTCTTGTTTACCAGATAACCTCTTGTGATACTCACCAGTGGGAACCAGCCCCTGTGGGCTTGATTAACCTGGGTGAACATACATAAACATGACCCACTTAGATGAGGTCCAGGGAGGAGAGCCTTGGGGTGCCCACAGAGACAAGGTCGTATTGAAAGAGCCAGCTTATCTTTTCCAGTGTTCTAATGTGTCATGGTAGGGGTATTTTGGGCAGGAGTGTCATGTACCCCACTGTCTCAGTCATCTAGTGCTGCTATAACAGAAATACCACAAGTGGATGGCTTTAACAA